GCTTCCCCTCGCCCCTGTGGACACCTCCCGCTCTGCGCCCCAGAGCACGATCGCTGGCGACTGCGGGGCCGCGGCGGGCAGGGCGGGGTCCAGGACTCGTCCTCCGCCATCTCTGCTCCCCGTGGCCTACCTTTGCACCCGTGAGCCCTGGCTTTTCCAGGAGACGGGCAGGGCAGGGCTGATGTTACTCTGGGGCTCCGGGGACAGAACCCAGAGCCTCAGGCACCCAAGGCCAGCACAGCGCAGGAGCGGCGTGCTGTGGCCAGCTCGCTTCCCGGTCACCTGCCGCCCCAAAGCCACCTCTTTCCCCGCGCGGCACTCACATTCCTTGGTGTTGGGGGGCGCCAGGAGGCAGGAGTAGCAGACCATGCCGTAGATGTTCCTGGGTCTGTTTTCCAGCATGTAGTAGCTGCGGGGACAAGAGGGACCGCAGGTAGGTGAGGGGCCGCGGTGGCATCTGGCGGGAGTCGGCCGGGCTTGGGGCAGCCGGGGTGGGTCGCACCCCTCGGCAGCGCCAGGCTCCGGTTTCCATGGGGTTCTGTGTCCTGAGCGGACTTTCTTTTTTCAGAATGGGCCTCCCCTCCAGCCTGCCCCCCACTTCCCATCTTTTGGCTCTGACCCTGAGGGATCTATTAGTACATGTCAGTGTCTTCATGGGCATCGCCCCCAGAATATTTGGGTGCGGCCACGTGGGCATCTGGAGGAGGAGCGCCTCTTGGGGTCCACTCCCAGAGCCATGGCCCCAGACTTCAGCAGCACTGCCCACAGCACTCCCCATGAGTCCAGATGGTGCCCCAGACCACCTGTGAGGCTGCGGATGACCTGAGGGGAGCTGGCTGGTGGAGAGCACAGGCCCCGTCAAGACTGCGCCCTGTGCAGTGGCTGCACACTCATACAGAGGAGGACACTTCTCACCGCAGCCCTGCTTGCCTGCCGACGCTCCCACACACACACACACACACACACACACACACACACACACACACGCACACGCATGCACTCACACGGGGCCTCTCCTCCCAGGCCCAGCTCCTTCCCTCCACCAGCTCCTGCCACCCCTTCCCCCAACTAGCCATTTGCCACATAATGAGAGGTCAATTAAATGAAAGGAGCTGGGCTTGCTGCCTTCCCTGATTCCACCGCCGGCACATACTGAACTTTCTGTGGTTTCTAGTCTGTCTTATTAGTCATGCACCTCAAAGCCCTGTGGATGGCAGCGGGATGCTGGGTGGGAATCCCTGCTCTAGGTAGAGCCAGGCCCAGGGAGCAGGCGGAGCCTCCTTCTGCGCCCTGGGGAGGTTAGGAGATCTCCTCTTGTCCCATCCTCCCAAACGGGGAAGCATTCACTGGTTGTTAAGCTCTGCCTCTGCCACAGGACTCAGCACATCCGCAGGCCTGCCAACCACGGGGGAGGCCTGTGCAGCCCGGGTCAGAAGACAGACAGAGCCGCAGTGTGGTGACTGCAGGGATTCGGGATGAGAACAGCCTTTCACGGAGCTTGTGAGGCCCCTTGCCAAAACACCCCCTCATCCTCCCCTGAGGCACAGAGCCCTCAGGTGCTGCCCTTCGGGCCGGAGCTCCCTGTGGGACAGGAGGGATTGATTTAAACAGAAAGCTGACGGGGCGGGGGGGCATGTGAGGGAGCCGGCAGAGCCACGGCCATGTCCGTGGGGCAGCACTGGACACCACACCCCCTGGCACGGGGTGGGAGGCCGTGCTTTGTCCTGGTGCAGAGGGTGAGGACCAGCCAGCTGCTGTGCCAGGGGACAGAGGGACAGCCAGGAAGAGCCCTACCGATGACTACCCGCTTGGCCTGGGTCCTCTGAGGCAGCCGCAAGCTGCAGCTTGTCTCCAGGGCCAGCTTCCATCAGGCCTGCCCGTCCCCAGCCTCTCCCCACGGTCAGGGACAGCCAGGCCCTAGGCCCATGAGCAGGGCTCGGCGGCCCCCTTGGAGAACTCCGCCTCATTTCTTGGTCCAACCTCGCTCCAAAAGTGTCCCACAACCCCAGTCCCCTGTCCCTCCAGGACCTGAGGGCTCCCTGGGTTTCTGGGACACTGTGCCTGCAGAGGTGGCTCCCTTCTGACTCAGTCAGCAGAGGGGGGTGAGGCTGCCCTTAGCCCTGCCGCCCACCTGGTCCCTCGGACCTTAAGGTTCACGGGACTGAATGCTGCAGATCTTATGTTACTTGAGGTGTGCGTCAGGCTCTGGAGATACATTTCGGTGTTGCAAACAGGGTCGATCTCCTTCAGGGTGAGCAGGGTGTGTGTCTTTCCTGTAGTTAATCCTCAGAGCTTTGTCTTTCATGGATCTTGTATTTGCACCAATAAAATCAGTGAGTGAATCAATCAAGATGAAACTCAGGAAGTGTGTATGTGCTCAGAGATGGATTCCAGCCTGTGTTGTAAAGGTCTACGGAATGTCTGTCATCCAGGGGCCGCACAGGTCTGCCAGAGCCCTTTCCTGGGGACGCCTGGGTGGCAGGGCTGCTCTGTCCTCTGACGGGCTCAGAGCTGCAGCAACGGAACTAAAGCCATCAGTGACAAAGCTTCCACTCGTATCACAGTTCTCTAAGAGAATAATCCTGTAGCCTCCCTGTTTTTATTTTTAAAGTGTTTTTAAAAAGCACTTTGCTTTTTTCTGCATATTGGAAAATAAGGTTCTGAGATAAGGTTCTCCTGCTGTGAACTCGCTTGACAGACACATTTGGATCACACTGTGTCAGGGACACAGGGGTGCCCTCAGAGAGCTGGACATCTGAGTCCGTGGCTCAGGAGCTAGGCCTGAGCTGAGACAGAAGCAGAGCCTGGGGCAGAGGCACCAGCAGAGGGGCGGTGGTGGACACCAAGTTAGGGGGTGCTTCTTAGTGACAAAACTGGGCTAAGTTTTAAAATGTATGAGTTGTAATAGGAAAATACAGTGTCTTTAAATAAAAACTTATTATTGTAAAAGACACATGGCCATTAATTCCCCTCAAAATCCTCCCTCTCACCTCAAACACACCCATGGCCCTTGCCACTTTCTGAGGTGGTTCTGGAAGGGCTCTTTCCCGCGTGTCTTTGCTTGTGCTGTTGTGGCCGCCTTCATGTCCCGAATCCACTCACACATTGGCCTTTCATGGTCATTTTGTCTTTGGGGAGGAGCCAGAAGTTGCACAGTGCCCGTGAGGGAGATGGATGACTGAGGGCACCCACCATGCTTTTACCAGTCTGCCTTTGTATCGAGGGCGTTGCAGCCGCATTCACCATGTGTTCAATCACGCCTTGTAAGGACGCTCGTGAAAGAGGACTTCCAGAACTGCTTCAGAAAGTAGCAGAACTGATGGGATAAGTGTGTTCAAAGCAAGGGGGAGGATTTTGAGGGAGATTTACGGCAGTGCTTTTACTATAATGTTTTAAAAAATTTAAACCCACATTATATTTTGGTCACTGCCACCATCATCATCGTCACTTCCACCATGTCCATCACCGTTATCCCACCTGCATCACCACCATCACCATGTCCATCACATCCGTCACCACCACCCGCCTTCATCATCACCACCACCTCATCATCACCACCACCTCCATCACTGTCATCACCATGTCCATCACATCCGTCACCACCACCCGCCTTCATCATCACCACCACCTCATCATCACCACCACCTCCATCACTGTCATCACCATGTCCATCACATCCGTCACCACCACCCGCCTTCATCATCACCACCACCACCTCATCATCATCCTCACCTCCATCACCGTCATCACCATGTCCATCCCCTCCAACCCGTCATCCATACTTCCAGTCATACCTCCATCATCATCCGCACCTCTATCACCCCTTCATCACCATTACCCCCACCTGCCTCACGTCCACCTCCGTCGTCTCTGTCCGTCTCCACTCCCACCTCTACCTCCATCACCTCACCCCCATCGCCTCTATCCTTCCCCACCCAGTCAGCACACCTGCACTTGGAAAGCGCTATGCCTCATGAGCACTGGAGGGAGGTGTCAGCAGTGGCAGCTTATTCAGGCTGTGTTTTCTTGGCTCTGGGCAGAATTTGTCAACATGTGCTGCCTTGAAGGAGGACGCTTTACTCTTCATGCCTTTCAGGCTAATTGCAGCTCAAAAGACTTCGGATACATAGCCCCAGCATAGTGTGATTACAGGCATCGTGTGCCAGAGACACTTTCATTAGTGTTTTTGCCCTCATTTTCCCCAGAATATTACAAACACCAAGCGTTGTACTTCACGTGGAAGTTTAGCTTTCCTCTGCAGTGTTCTGCATCTGTTGTCTCACTGTGAGCCCTCGGCTGAGTTCACGTGGGCAGTCACCCGGGGCTGCCTGTTGCTGCTCGGTGACACCCTTGCAATGGGACACTGCCCCACGTGGGACACTGCAGGCACCACACTGCTACGCCATCCACGCTGCTCCAGTGCCCACGGGCTCACTTACCCAGGGAGGCACGGCCCACACTCGGCATCATTCTCCATGTCCCCAGGTGTCAGCACCGTGGCCCGGAAGAAGCCCTCACAATCCTTGTGGCGCCTGCAGATCTGGTAACCCCCTTTGGAGAACTTCTCGGCAGGGCAGGGCACACAGCCATAGTCCTCGTCCTTGGTGCCATAGCCGCAGGACTGGTGGAAAAGCGGTGGGGGTGGTGAGTGAGGAGCATGGGAACCCCAAAGGCTGGGGCAGAGGCCCAGCTCCGTTCTGGTCCCATCCAGGACCACCTCCCAGTCCAGCCAGAGGCCGCCCTGGCACCCGCTTTCTCAGCCCCTCCTGGACCCCAGGCCCCACAGGCTGTGCCTTCCTGCCAAGGAGGGAGGTGGGCACTCAGGGCTGAAAGTGCTGCTGCTCCCAGCCCTGAAGGCCTGATGCCCTTGAGTCAGAGCAAGAAGGGGTCCCCAGGGATGGAGGACGGGGGGCTGTGAGCAAAGGCTCACCTCGCTCAGCCTGTGACCGGCCCTTACCATGTAGGGCTCCTCGCCCGGCCCGCAGGGCGGGCACAGCTGACACAGCCCAGTGGTCTGGTTGTAGAACTCGTCCTCGCCACAGCTGGAGTACTCCGCGCTGGCTGAATGCACCAGGGACACCTGCACCAAGCGAAGCCATTGTGGCGCCACACCACGTCCAAAGTGGCCCAGCAGCTCCACTGGTGCCAGGCCCGGCACGCACAGGTTGTCCGCAGGCACAGCCCCTCCTCCCTCCAGCACCCAAACCCAACCACTGCACCCTGCCCGCTGTCTCGGTCCAGGTGGCCCAGCTGCTTCGGGGGTGCTCTGTGCCCGCACTCTGGCCCCAGGTCATGACCAGGTGGCCCTGCTGGGGCTCCCAGCTGGAGGAGGCCAGCTTGGGCCAGGCAGGGTCCAAAGCTCTGCGGGCTGGAGTGCCGGGGCTCCGGCCTCACTGTGGGGAGGCTGAGGCTGAGGGCTGGCACCCAGGGCCCTGTGGGTGGAGGGCGTGGCCTGGATCAGTGGGTTCACACGAGTGGGCACCAGTACTGCTTACCACAAGGACGGGCAGCCAGGGCATCCACCTGCCATGCGCCATGCTCTCCGGGGACGGCACCTGAAAGACACAGGTGTGAGCACAGCAGTCCTGGCCCAGCTGCTGTCACAGACCCACCAGCGGCCAGGGCCCTCCTGCGGCAGCCAGGGGGCATGCGTTCAGCTGAGCCCAGGCCTGAACTCCGTAACCGACCTTGCGCCCCTCACCCGCATCGTGGAGAGGAGGCCAAGTGCCCAGGCCTGTGCTGCCTGGCTCACACCGAGAGGAAACCGGGCCCCAGAGTGGGGAGGAGCGAGAGTGCAGGAGCCCGCTGCTGGCCACTGAGACCCGGTGGGCAGAGCAGCCCCTGACCAGCCAAGGTCCCACAGCAGGAGCTGCGACTGCAGGAGGCACCACGTCTCCACGCTGCCGTGTGCAGCGGAGGCTGCTGCTCAGCCTGGTGAGGGATCGGGCCAGGCGCTGCCTCCTGGGCCCTGGACACTGGGTGGCTCCGACCATCTTCTGTAGAGGCCCGCAGCTCTGAGGCCTCAGAAGACAGCACAGACCTGGAGGTTGGGACCCAGAGCCTGGCACGCCTGCCTTCCTGCCTGCCCGCCATTGCCCACCAGCTCTGGGCTCCCACACAGGAAGTCTGTGGGTACCCACCCGCAGCAGCCTGGCCCATGTGAGGTGGCCTCAGTGACTTTCTTCTGTAAGTCAGGAATGAGGCAGGGGGACAGGTGACAGGCCAACCCTGTGGCCTGGTCTGGCTTCTGGTCACCCCACCACCCCTCACAGTTTCACCTGGCCAGGTTGTGCAGCTGGGGTTGGGGGATTTGCTTCCTCTGTATCCTGTGGGCTGCATCCTGGCCAGGACCCTCCCGAGGGGCCAGGAGCAGGCAGCAAGGAGGCCCAGTGCTCCAACCTGGAGCTCAGAGCTCTGTCCCCACTGTCCTGGTCACTCACCCTACCCCATATAGCAGGCCGGAGACCAGCACCGACCCACTGAGCCACGCCGGGTCGAAAGGTGCAGTCCTTGCTGACCCACCTGGAGAGCAGGGGAGGACACGCCACAGAGGCATCAAGGGACCATGTTTGTGGAGTCTAGGGGCTACAGGGCCTGGGGTGCTCAGGGTGGGGAGGGCTTGGTCCTGAGACTCTGTGCCCAGGGCTGAGCACAGCGACAGTGTGGCGGCGTCCACACCACTGTCATGGCTCCCCAGAGGGTCGGGGAGCTGGAGCGACCCCTGCGTCCCACACAGGGGCTCCAGAGTCTGCACAGGGGTCCACGAGGATGCAGGTGCCAGACACGAACCCAGTGTTCTGTGCCCAGGGGTGCCCTCGTCTCAGCCTGTGAAGTTGTGTCCTGCCTGGCAGGTGGGGGACAGTTGGGAACGTGAGAGGGACTTGATGCCCAGGGAGCGTGTGGGACCTCCAGGGACCCGTAACCTCCAGCTGACTGCCGTCTCTGCCTTAACACCTAGCTAGAGGCTGCCCAGGACCACGATAGAGTGGTCTACTTCCAAGGAGACAATGCTGGGTAGGAGGCTGGGGGCAGGAGGCAGGGTGCTGACCGGAGCTGCCCCGGGCTGGAGAGGAGGCCAGCAGCTCTGCCTACGAGAGGGAGCCTTGGCCCAGCCTCCCTCCCCCAGCCTCCTGGCTCTGCTCCTGGAGCAGCCCGAGGGAGCTGCTGGCGGCCTCCCTGCCCTTCCCCAGGCCTCCCCCCTGTGACAGCAGCTGGAGGTCACTGTGACAGCAGCTGGAGGGGCTGCCAGGCTGTGATTTATGGCCCAGGGAGAACACTAATTAATGCTAGATCTTGAGCAATGAGCCTCTCCACTGCTTCCTCCCATCTGTCTCCTGTCTCTCCCAGCCCACACCTGCCACTACTGAGAGGGGTTCTCCCTGCCCCATCTCCAGGTGCTCTGGCTGCAGGTGAGGCTCCCTGGGCCTGCCGGAGGGCCCAGGGCTTGAGGTCAGGCACCACCTTGAGCAGTTTCCCCTCCAAGGCCCGAGCGGATGTGGAGATGCCTGACCACAGAGCACCAGCCCTTGAGAGCTTTGAGCATCATCACACAAGGGTTTATTTATTTATTTATTTTTTTGGTTTTTCTCCGGTACTGGGAACCGAACTCACAACCTTGCGCTTGCCAGGCAGGCGCTTTGCCGCTGAGCTAAATCCCCAGCCCCTACACAAGGGTTTAAAAGAACCAGGGCACCAGGTGTGGTGGTGCAGGCCTGTAAGCCCAGGACTGAGTGAGGCTGAGGCAGGAGGACTACAAGTTCAGGTCCTACCCACCCATCCATCCATCTGTCCATCTGTCCATGTGCAGTGTTTACTGAGCACCTATTGGACACCAACCTGAACGCACACAAATCAACACAACCCCCGCCCTGCAGGTGCCTGGTCAGCTCCTTGCTGCGAGGCCGGGCACACGATCCCTTTACTGTGGAGCAGCGGTGCCCAGTGTTCAGCAGAGCTCAGTGTTCATCCGCTTGCCTCGTGTTTATCCACTTCGGCTCCTTTTGCTCTGACATTTTAAAGGTGGTTTCGTTGTTTCCTGGCCTCACAGTGCTACAGGTGCCCCAAGAGCCCACGTGCGTGTCCCACTGTCACCAGGCCTCTGGAGGCTCCCGTCCCTCACCGCCTCCCCAACCTTGAAGCCTGCGGGGACCCCAGTCCCGCAGGCCGCTGACGTGGACACGTGGCCTGGAAGTTGCGAGGTCCACGCAGAGCCTGCACCCCACTGTGAGTGTGGACAGAGGGAAGCCAAAGCGGGGAAGAATGGCGGTGTCTGTCCAGCGCCGGCCATAGTGGACACTTCCCAAGGTCACTTTGGGAGACCATGTGGCGTGCACGGGAAATGGCCTGCCGCCATCAGCCATGACCTTCCCACCGTGGTCCCAGCCCCGGACGCAGAAGCTGTGGTCACGGGCCCCAGGGAGTCGCAGTTCCCAGACCTCACACCCCGTGGCTGGGGTCTCTGCCTTCCCTGCCTAGGACAAACCTGGGCGTCAGGCTGTGCCAGGCTGTGGGGCTGGAAGGGCCTTTGCGCTGAGACTGTCCTGTGTCAGGGGCAGCCTCACGCACCCGGGGGACGCACATGTCCCCGCGCTGTGTTTGTAGGGGAGTCGTGGCTGCTGCAGGCAGGCGCAGGGCCCCTTGGCCTGTGCTTGCACACGCAGTCCTCCTAGTCAGTGCCTGAATGGCCGCAGGAAGCACTTGCCACCCCGTTAACCGGAGAGGCTGAGTGACCTGCCTGGGCCACACAGAGCTGAGGACCTGACCAGGTCTGCTCGGGTTCTGCCTCCTACACCGCCCAGGAGAGGGGTCCCAGAGCTGCTGAGGCCAGGGAGGCTGGTGGCTTGGTGCCTGGCCGGGCCTCCCCGCCTGCCCTCCTGTGGTGCAGTGTGGGGAGCCCTGAGAAACACAGCATGCAGGGTCGGGCCCAGGTGGTCGGAGCTCTCGGGCCACGTGCCAGCGTCTCCTCCCCTCCCACACAGGCCTCTGCCTTTCAGGAGAGGAGAGTGGAGAGGGGGAGAGGAGGAGAGGAGAGGAGAGTGAGGGAGCCGGGAAGGGGGGCCCTCGCTCCTGTTGTGGGGGAGGGGCTGTGTCCTCAGACGGGTGACCCACAGGGTACACAGCTATAAATAACCCGAACGTCCCCTCACACAGGACTTTGTTTTCCTTCCTTGAATTCGAGTCCCAGCATGAAGCAAGGAGCTCATAAATTTGGGTCCTTCCGTCCTGTCAGATTCGGGGCCTTGTTCTGCTGGTTTGAAAACACATTCTCCCAGCCTGGTGCCACAAGGCCCTGCACAGCTGAACCTCACAAGGCACCTGCAGGCTTGGCTGGATGTGCCGGACAGTCTGCCCCGGGTGCTGGGGCTTGTAGGACCCAGAGGAATGGGGGCTGTTCACGCCCCTGCGAGCTGGACCGCAGGGCAGCGAGCAGAATCTCCTGTCCCGGCTTCTTTCTTCTCGCGCAGTTCATTTTGCATGGGTGATTGTATTGCAGTTGCACCCTACTTTTAGGGTATTCACAGCCCTGTGCTTTCTTCCAGGTAGAGAAGCTGAAGTCTTAAGCACACTTCGTAGAAAAGCAGCAGGCAGCAGGCAGGCCAGGCCCACAGAAGGCTGGGCGATCCAGAGCCCTGGTGTGGGAGGACCAGCTGCTGGTTTTCTGTAGCACGGCACGGCCAGCAACTAAATGACACGGAAAGCTAGCGAGGATGGTGACTATCTGGGGGGACGGCTTTGCTAGCTGCCGGTTGACCATGACATGTGGTATCCATGTACTGACATGTCACACATGCCCTGTAAATACACCTAAGGATTATGTGCACCTACAACTAAGAAGGTTTAAAAAAAGATGGTGGTGCATCCTTAGCAGCCTCAGGTGGGGATCTCCCTGTGCTGGGCTGGGTCTAAGGTGCCCTGGGCAGCACGTGCCAAAGCCTGTCCTGAGCCGTGGCTGCTCCCCGTCCACGGTGGCCACCTTCCCTCGGGGAGCTGGAGGGCAGGGGCAGTGGCTGCAGGGAGGGCTTGCAGAGACAGTGGCATAGGAAGTGCCACTTGGGAAGGTGCTGCCCAGCCACTGAGCCGCCCCACGCAGCAGGAGGTGATAAGGCTCCCGTGGTCACCCTGTCACACCAGATGGTGACAGGGAAATGCACTGTGTGGGCGTCTGACCCTGGCCACGCGCAGGCTGTGGCTGTGGCTTGTGTGCTATGGGTTCCAGGAGCTCGCCCTGCAGTGCAGGGAGTGAAGACACTGTCCATGCCAGGGCCAGCCGGTGCCCTGCCAGTAACCCAGGCATACATCGCAGAAAGACCTGTTTACGAGGTGTCTCATGACGGACCCAGAACGCCGTTATTCCTCATTCCCATGCCAAGAGCCCTGTGTGACGCCAGAGTATCTGCAGCTGGATGATGCTGGCACTAAAATTACCACATACTAAAACCTGAAAGCCCCGAGACCCATTAATTTATGAAGGCCCAGAAGGGGTCACGGCTCTGGGCCTGGTGAGCCAAGCAGAGGTCGGGCTGCACAAGCAGGGTTTGCACTACTTGTGCTGCCA